GAGAGGTGTCGCGAACGACGAAGAGCCTTCGTCCCGTTGTTGTGCGAGACTCTGGGAGGAGGAGGAGGAGGAGGAGGAAGAGGGAGGAGGAGGAAGAGGGAGGAGGAGAAGAGGAGGAGGAGGAGGAGGAGGAAGGAGGAGGAGGAGGAGGAGGAGGAGGAGGAGGAGGTCTATGACCCGTGTTGGCCACGAACAATGTTCCGGACGTTCCGGACATGCTCCGGGCAAAAAGTTGTGCCGGGCAATTGGTTGCTCCGGACAGCTGTAGGAATTGACGTCCTTGGGGGCCGCGCGAGCGCCCTCGGCCCGCGCCGCGCCCTCGGGTCATAGACTGTGACCCGAGGGCGCGGGCGCGGATATGCTCGCCGCTCGTGGCCTTTCCCCCCCCCTTCCCCCCAGCAGCAACAAAAAACACAAGCGCGCACCGGAGGCCACCCTGGCCCAGGACGTCGGAGGAGGAGGAAGAGGGTCGGAGGAGACCTCCTCCTCCTCCTTTCTCCTCCTCCTCCTCCTCGTCCTCCTCCTCGTCCTCCTCCTCCTCCTCCTCCTCCTTCTCCTCCTCCTCCTCGTCCTCCTCGTCCTCCTCGTCCTCCTCCTCCTCCTCCTCCTCGTCCTCTCCTCCTCCTCCTCCTCCTCCTCCTCGTCCTCCTCCTCGTCCTCCTCCTCCTCCTCCTCTCCCTCCTCCCCTCCTCCTCTCCTCCTCCTCCTCCTCCTCCTCCTCCTCCTCCTCCTCCCTCCTCCTCCTCCTCCTCCTCCTCCTCCTCCTCCTCCTCCTCCTCCCAGGATATCGCCTCAGCCCCGCTTGCGGCCGAGAGGTGCTGGAGGAGCTCCAGGAGCAGCAGGCCGTGCTGGCCGAGCAGGCGCCGTTGGCAAAATATCCGAGCCCGGCCTTCGCCGAGCAACGACTCGGGCAGCTCGACTCGAGCAGTGGTGGAGCGTCCTGGCTTGCCTATATCTAGGCCTCCTAGATGGGCTCGGAGTAGATAGGGGTCGGAGGATTGCGCCTCATCGCCGATGCATCGGTTTTTGCGGCTCGATGCGGAATCCGTTTTTCTTCGCGCTGGCGTCGCCGATGCATCGCCGACGTCGCCGATGCATCGTCGATGCATCGCCGATGTATGGCCAATGCATCGCCGATGCGGCGCGATCCTCCGACCTCTTCTATTCGGACCCCATCTAGGAGGCCTCTACCATAGGGCCACCATTTTTGTTTTGGTGGTTTGCACGAAATGTTATTAGAACATGTCTGGCTGAGGCTGGCTTGTCTTTATGCATCGGGTCTGTGTTCTAAGAGCACGGTTTTTGTTCTCAGAACATTCTGAGTTTCGAAGAACATGCCGTGGTAAGCCTATAGGAATGCCAGGACTGTCGGTCCCTGCTCAATCGATGGGCGGCGGGGGTGCAGCCTTCCTCGAAATCAAACGCAAGGTTTTATCCAACCCCCTCGCCTCTGCATTTCATTGCTGATCGTCGCGCGCGACGCGGCCCGCGGGGTCCGGAACAAAAAGTTGCAGTCGTCAGTGTCGGCGCGAGCGCTGACATTCGGGGCTTGTGGGCGCCCCAGGAACAACATTGCACATGGGGTTCGGAATGCGTCGAGCACGCGGCGAAATCTGCAAAAACCCTACCCGAGCCTCCCATCGATCAGCCGCGAGTCCGGGGGGGAAGTGAGAAGGGGCGGGCCTTCTCAGAAGGCTCGGGGGAGCGTAAGACCTGGGTTTGCCGGGACTCGGGTTCGCCATCGTTTTTTGACGACCGCGACTCGGATTTTGACGACGAGGAGGAGTTTTGTGGGATGTCTGCAGCGGGAGGCCTCGTCAAAATGCAGGCTCGGCCTCGTCATTTTTTTGACGACCTCGTCGGGGATTTCCGAGTCCCCCGTACCCGGGTCTTACGTCTCCCCGATAGGCTCGGAAGGCCTCGGGCCTTCTGAGAAGTTCGACGGCCAGAGTGCTTCCGAGAAGAGCCCCGCCGCCCTCTGAGACGGCCTGCCCCCTCTCGCTGCCTCCCGGGCGCGCCGCCGCATCGCTCCGGGAAAGTCGAGGGCCGGAGGGGGTCCCTAAGGGCTTGTCGACTTTTCGCCAATCGACTTGTGAGAATCGAGCCAGATAAACCCAGGTAAATGCAGATAAATCGAGGTAAATCCAGGTAAATCTAGATAAATCTGGGCAAATCCAGGTAAATCCAGAGATCTCCAGGGAAAGTTCGAGCACTTCGCGGCCGCTCCAGCGCGAGTCGAAGGACGGCAGAAGTCGTTAAGCCTTTATCGAGGGGGGGCAGCCAAGACGCTGAAAGAAGAGCCGCTTCGGGCTCGGGTGTTCGGGCCGTTCCGTCGGGGGTGGGCAGATCTGCCACTGAGGGGAGGTTTTACGAAAGGGAGGTTTGTCCACCGTCGCTTCCTCAGGGCGTGTGTCTCTATTGCTTGGGGCACAATTCAACGGCACCGTAACGGGTACTTACTAACGGGTACTTTGCAATTTTGCCGAAAGTTGCCACTTTAAGGCTTCTTTCTGGCAATGCAGCGTTGCCCGCATCGGGAAGGGTTGGCTTCGCTGGGTCACTGGCCAAAGTACCCGTTAGTGGAGTCCCTGTTTGTGGGGCGCTGAACAATGGGCATTACAGCCCCCGGCCCCCCCTCCCCGCCCCCCATAATTAACGTAACGCCCCTCCCCGCCAGCGCTCCGGGCACTGCCGCCGTGCGCACGGCGGGGGGGAGGCGTTGCATTAGGCCCCCCCTGGCCCCTCCCCCCCCCCTCATATAGTGCCCATTATCGCCGAAAATGAAAAACGCGCATTCGCTCTATGTCGTCGTGGAACCTGTCTGTGGCCTAGGCACGCGGTGGCCAGAAAATTCGCCTTGCTCCTCATCATGCGTTCATGATGGTAGCACCGGGGGCGGCAAAGAGGGGGGTGATGACTAAGGGGGGATGGATATCATGGCGGGGGCCATGAGATTTCCCCAGATTTCATAGCGCCTCTTCTTATTTCATTGCGTCCCTGGCCCCCCCAAGGGCCGCGCACATGCCGCCAGCCATCATTTGCGCCCCCCCCCCTCTTGGACGCCCCCCTCTTGGCCGCCCCCGATAACACGATGTCCTGATTGGTTCAGCACGGGGCCCCCGGAAGTCCCGACCTTCTCCCCAGGGCCAGTTTTTCATCTTGAGTCGCTTCTCTTATAGTCCCGGGGCCCGGCGAGGGCCCCCAGATGCCGAAGACGGCGCAAACAACCTCCCGTCGCGCTTTGTTTCGCGACGCGAGCATGTCTGGGCTTTCCCCCGCCTCCCATGGATTCAGCAGAATCGATGGTTGGTGGGGGTAAGATTCGGATGCCGCCACCTGAATGACAAAACAAAACGGGTTCGTCTGCCCCGACATTCGCGCGTAGGCTGCTCGCGCAGGGTCGCGCGCAGGCGCCCTCGCTTCCAGTGTGGCGTGCCGCGCTGGCGGCCCGCGCAAGCCGCCGCGCAAGGTCGCCGTGCCAGCTGTGGTAGCACACCGAGTTCGGGCATCTAGATACTTCAGAAGAGCGCTCCTGATGATTTCTTTCGATCGCTGTACCGAACATCTCTGTAGCTCATCTGCAGCTCGAGTTGCATCAAGAAACTCGTCATCATCTCTAGAAAAACCCTCCCGCGTACATCTAGGCCTCCTAGATGGGGTCCGAGTAGACGGGATCGGAGGATCGCGCCGCATCACCGAGGCATCGCCGATGCGGCTCGATGTGGAACCCGATTTGTTCCACGTCGACATCGCCGATGCATCGCCGATGCGTCGCCGATGCGTCGACGATGCGCGGCCGATGCATCGCCGATGCATCGACGATGCGGAGCGATCCTCCGACCCCATCTATTCCGACCCCATCCAGGAGGTTTTTAGTATTAAGTCGGGCCTGTCCCTCTACAGGAGCATTCAAAATAGTCAAAACATAGCCTGGCGACCATTTTGGCATATTATAGGTATCTGAGGGGCATTGGGGGATCATAATTTCGAGTCGTTCGTCCGAGATCTGCCTCCAAGGGGACCTGCCCGACCTAACTCGGGTACAGGACCCGCCTCTTCTCGCCGCCCCACCCCTTGACATCGCTCGGACGTGTGCATTCCTCCTCGGCGAGGACCGTCGAGGAGCCTCCTTGATCTTTTGGCGAAAAAGCCCCGCACAAAACCGACAAAAAAAAAACAGGGAATGGACGTCCGAGCGACAAAAAAAACGCGCAAACCCGAACAAAAAACACAGGGAATTTGGCGAAGAACCGCGCACAACACCGACAAACAAAAAGCACAGGGAAGGGACGCCCGAGCGATGGCCCCACCCCCCGGCAGGCGCGCGCCCTGGCGCAGCTGCGGCGGGAGCGCTCCCAGGCGGCCGGGGACCAGTTCTGGCTCGAGCGCTCCCTGGGCCGCGAGGGGGCGCCCGAGGAGCGGAGGGGGCGGGCCGCGGCGGGGGCGGCAGCGGCGGCGAGGCCCGAGCCTCGCATGCCTCCTCCTCCTCCTCCTCCTCCTCCTCCTCCTCCTCCTCCTCCTCCTCCTCCTCCTCCTCCCTCCTCCCCTCCTCCTCCTCCTCCTCCTCCTCCTCCTCCTCCTCCTCCTCCTCCTCCTCCTCCTCCTCCTCCTCCTCCTCCTCCTCCTCCTCCTCCTCCTCCTCCTCCTCCTCCTAGGAAGCCGCTGGCATCTTGGACCCGCTGCTCCTGCCCCGAGGGAAGGGGGCCGACCGGGCCTTCCCTGGGCGAGCTGGCCCACATAATTACCAGCCTGGAACATATCCCTATCCCTATGCTGGGCATCTCCTCTTCAGAGGCCAGTCTTAGGGATTCCCTTATTTTTTGAGGGCGAATCCCTAAGATTCAGGAGGGGAAAAAACGCACAGACACAAGTAATCGTCGATTTCCCCAAAAATATGGCAAAATATGGGAAGTGGTGGGGAACCTCAAACGACGCGAAGATTGGGACAAATTCGGATCGGGATAACTCGAAATCTCTGAGAGTCGGCGGGTTTGGAGGATGTATCGGGCGCCGCGGCCGCTCCAGAGCGTTCCGGAACGCTCTGAGAGCGCTCCGGAACGCTCTGGAGCGATTTATCCCGATCCTAGCTCTGTTTTATATGCTGGGCATCTCCTCATCACGCTGCCAGTCTCAGGGATTCCCCTATTGTTTGAGGGCGGATCCCTAAGATCGTCATCGCCTTTTGGGCGTGTCAGTCTCAGGGATAGGGATAAGATCGAGGCTGGTAAGCATGCGGTCGGCAGCACATCCTGGGAGCCCCTCGCGTACCCTCGCAGTTCGAAGAAAAAGAAGAATAACACAAAGGCCATGAACGGAAACTTTTGCGGCGCTCCGCGCGAGGTTCTTGGATCGGCGCCTGGGCCCCCCCGGGCGGCGCTTCCGGCGCCGCCTCTGGCGCGCTCCGCGCGCCAGGGAACGGGGTCCAGCGCAGATCCAAGAAATCTGCGCGGAGCGCCAACAGTTTATGCTTGTGGCGTTTCCCTTTCTTCTTCCATCAGTTTCCGTTGTTGGAGTGCACCAGCGTCGATGAGCGTTTGGTCCTCGATGAGGCAGCGCCGACGTCCGGCGCCGCTTCGGCGTCGACTCGCCCTCCCAGGCGCTCCCAGGGGCGCTGCGTTTCCCGTCCTGCCTGGGGGCTCCAGGAGGTTCTTCTCGTCGCCACGGCGGGGACCGCCTCGGAGAGCGGGTCGGGATGGCGACCAGTGCTGGCTGGAGCGCTCCCAGCCAAAGGAGGGAAAGTCACCTGGACCCGATCATGGGCGTTTGCGAAACGGCCCTGCATGCTTACGAAGCAGCCTTGCCTGTTCGATTCCTTCTTTGGGCCCTTTGCTAAGCGGCTTCGCGTGTCGGGGTGATTGTGATGAGGGTGGAGGGAGGAGGAGGAGGAGGAGGAGGAGGAGGAGGAGGAGGAGGAGGCGGAGGAGGAGGAGAAGGGAGGAGGAGGAGGAGGAGGAGGAAGAAGGGACGAGGAGGGAGGATGAGGAGGAGGAGGAGGAGGAGGAGGAGGAGGAGGAGGAGGAAGGAGGAGGAGGAGGAGTTGTGCTCTCTACCCAGGGCCGCGAGGGGGGAGCGGAGAAGGACCACGGCGAGATGGCGGCGGCCCTCGTTCCGCTGCGTGGCCCAGACGGGCGGCGCCCCCAGACCCCCGACGTCATATTTTTTTCGCTCCCCGGGACCAGTTTTTCGTCCTGGGTTGTTTTTTTACGGTCTCGAGGCCCGGCGGCCGAAAATAGCGAAACACCTTCCTCTGCGTTTTTTTGTCATGACTCGAGGGGTCTGGGTCTCGAGTGAATCGAGACGTCGGTTCTTTCTAGTCTGTTCGGTTTCTCGGGGCCCGTACCATGTTCGGCCACGCACAGAGGGGGTGTGGGTTATGGGCACGCCCCTCTACATATGGAGTATCCATAGATAAGCAAAACATAGTCTCGGGACGATGTTTCGATTATGTTTGATTTGTTTGATTATGTGTGTTCCCCACATCCAAAGTTGGGTGTTTGTTTTCTCTGCGCAACCCCCGCGCAGGAACCTCGCACCTCACCCCCTCTCCTCCTCTCCCGTCGCCCACTAACCCATTCACTCAATCACTCACACCGCTATCATCAGTCCCACGCGCACACACATGCACACTTACTCACAGTCAATCATCACTCACTCGTCATCACAGTCACTCGATCATTTTCGTTCATTTCTTCCAAGAATACCCCTCATCACTCATCGCACTCCCATCACAGCACCATCGTTTTGTTCCCCACATCCAAAGTGGGGGTCTTGTTTTCTCTGCGCACCCCCGTGCAGGAGCAGGATAACACACCCTTTCCTCTTCTCTCATCGCACACTCATTCACTCATTCACTCAATCACTCACACACTCATCGCGCTCACTCACGCACCAGCTTACTCACCCACTCACACACTCACACATACACACTCACTCACCCACCTACCCACACGCACACACTCGTCATCATCACTCACTCACGCATTCACCATCCATTCACTCACCCACCGACCTGCCCACTCACTCACTCACACTCATCTTCGTCATCATCATCACCATCATCATCATCACCATCGTCACCATCATCATCATCATCATCATCACCATCGTCACCATCATCATCATCATCATCATCATCATCATCATCATCATCATCATCATCATCATCATCATCATCATCATCATCATCATCATCATCATTATTACCATCAATTCACACACTCGCTCACTCATTCACACGCACTCATCTAAGGCGTGAGCTTCGTCTGTGAGTGAATTGCGAGGGAGTCTCACGTGGGAGCCCCCTCCCTATGGGGCCCGCACTTCATGTGAATAATCCCAGCGGGTCGTCGGAATCCTGTACCGGTCGTCGCGTTTGGTTTCGTCAAGCTTGAGTATGGCGGAGGTCTACGGCGGGAACCTCGTCTGTGAGTGAATTGCGAGGAAGTCTCTGGCGGGTCATCTTAGTAACCCCAGCGGGCCATCGGAACCTAGTAACTGTCATCACTTTTGGCTTTTCAAGCCTGAGTGTGGCGGTGGTCTCAGGCGGGAGCACCCTCCTTACGGGGCCCGCAGCTCGTGTCTGTAATCCGAGCGGGTCATCGGAATCCTGTACCTGTCGTCACTTTTAGGCTCCTGAGGCCTGAGAATGGCGGAAGTCTCGTGAGTGAATCGCGAGGAAGTCTCAGGCGGGAGCCCCTTCCGTATGGAGCCCCCTGCTCATGTGAGTAATCCGAGCGGGTCATCGGAATCCGGTATTTGTCATTTTTTGGGGGCTCCTGAGGCCTGAGTATGGGACAAGTATCAGGCGGGAGCCTCGTCGGTGGGTGAATTCCGAGGAATTCTCAGGCGGGAGCCCCATCCCTATCGGGCCCGCAGATCATGTTATTTATCCGAGCGGGTCATCGGAACTTCGTAACTTCCATCTCTTTGGGGCTCCTGCGGCTTGAAAATGAAGGGAGTATCAGGTGGGAGCTTCGTCTGTGCGTGAATTGCGAGGAAAGGTCAGACGGGGACCCCCTCCTTATGGAGTCCGCAGATCACGTCATGAATTCGAGCGGGCCATCGGAACCGAGTAACTGTCGTCACTTCTGGGCTCGCGGATCCTGCATATGGGGGAAGTGTCAGGCGGGAGCCTCGTCCATGAGTGAACTGCGAGGAAGTCTCAGGCGGGAGCCTCCTCTCTATGTGGCTCGCAGCTCATGCTATTAATCCGAGCGGGTTATCACAACCCTTCAACTGTCGTCAATTTTGGGCTCCTGAGGCCTGAATTTTTGGGAGGTATGAGGCGGGAGCCTCTTCTGTGAGCGTATTGCGAGGCAGAACAGCACGCGCGCTCGTCGCGACTCATGGCGCATGGGCGTGCCCTTCCGTTTTGCTGCAGGCCGAAGACGAGTGCAACGCGTTTCAGGGCGATCCCGACGCGGGTCGGCGCCTCCTGACCTGAACGTCCCGAACATGCACGCGACGGGGGACATCCACGGCGTCTTACCGGCCCACGTCGGCATGGAGTTGCGATTCACTGCAGTGCAGGAAGAGTTGAAGAAGGGTTGGTCCTCGTGCAGGAGCAACGGGCCACCATCGTGTCTCTCGAGTTCCACCCCGAGGACGCGCAGCGGTGCGAGAAGCGCACGCCGCGCCAGTTGTTTCGCCCCCGCTTCCTACCGCAGGTGATCTGGCTGCAGGTACACGGCGCACGGGTTCAAGGAGTCCCCGATCGACCAGGAGGTCGCCGAGATGTTGTGACAGAGCGCCGAAGGCGCTGGCGACGACGGCGAGGCCGAGGCGCGGGCGCGGGGCTTGCTGATGTTCAGGCCCAGCGAGCAGGAGCTCACGTGGCAGTGCTCGGGGCCGCGAGCTGCGCGCCGCTCGGTGTTCACCATGGCGCATGCGTCCTACCTCGCCTCGGCGTTGTCGCAGGGCCAGACGTTGCGGAAAGGCGCCACCATCGATTGCGCAAGGGGCGAGGACGCTGGCCGCGCGGGCATGTCGGACGACCAGCGGTGGCTGCACCTCTACGTCATGTTCTCCCGCGCCTCGCGCTTGCTGAACGCGCAGATCCCGCGGCCGCCCGCGCGCGAGTTTCTGGGGCGAGGGGCCGCCGGCGCCCTTGCGGACGGCACTGGGGAAGTCTGACGAGGTAGCGAGGGGCTCCAGGGCAGAGGCGGAGCAGCTCGCGGCCGAACTAGGCTTCGTGCCGCCTCTCGCCTGAGCGCGGCTGCGCCTCGTTCGATGCCCGCGGGGTTGCCCCAACGGCTTGGTCTCGCGCGCCAGCGGCTCGCGGGGTTGCCGCGACGACCTGGCCCGCGGGGGTGGCCCCAACGGCTGCGCGATGCGGGCATTGGAAAACGCATCCTTGCTGGCCGAGGTGGCGACGGCGCCGAGGAAAACCGACGCGCGCCAGGAGGAAGGAGAGGCGCACGAGGAGAACAGGCGGGGCGGAGATGGGGAGGGGGAGAAGGGGGGAGGTGAAGGAGGAGGAAGAAAACGACGAAGAGGTAGGGAAGGAGAGGAAGAGGCGGAGGACGAGGAGGAAGAGGAGGAGAAGGAGGCGGAAAAGCAATATGATAAGGAATGCAACGGGTAGGACGAGAACGAAAAGGAGGAGGAGAAGGATGAGAAGGAAGGGGGAGAGGAGGACGCAGAGGGCGAAACGAGGGCGGAACGAGGACAAACTAAATCGATTCTCGTGCGGGGCCCTACCGTCGGAGTATGTTTTGGCATTTTTGAATTGGTCGCCCAACATCCGCCTGTTGGAGGATTTGCCCGACCCCAGGGTAGGGCAAGGGGGGAAGGCTTTTCAGAAACACCCTTGCTTCTCAGAAGGCTCGGACCTTCGCTGCATATGTAAGGCTGGCGCCGTCTAGCTAGCAGCCTCCTGAGAAGCTTTCCCCCTCCCCCAGTACCCCCATCTGCGCGCCGCAAGCTTGCTGTGGAGCCGTCAAAAGACAACTCTGGATACACCTTCTTCCGGGGAAGTGGGCGAATGGTCGGGGAGGCCCGTGTCTCGGAAAAGATAAAAGACGCCGGATGCCCGGGGATACCCGACCCCAGACAACGTTCGGGGGCGGCAATGAGGGGGGTGATGACAGGGGGGGGGAAATCATGGCGTAGGCTATATTATTCCCCCAGATTCCATGACGCCTGTTCTTATTTCATTACGTCCCTGGCCCCCCTGTTCGCCGCGCGCATGCCGCCCGCCATGATTTGCACCCCCGTTTTTGGACGCCGCCGACCCCAGACCACAAGCCTCCGAATCGGTTTTGGAGGTTGCCGCCCTTGCGACCGCGGCGGCCGCAGATCGGGCCAATGCTTCCGTCGAGGAGTGGCATTCCCTTCCCCCCCCCCGCACTGTGCGACGCAGACGTGTCTCAGGCATAACAAGGTATAAACCGTCATGGCGCCAACATTGCAGAGCGGATCTTGTTCGGAAGACGATAGGGTGGGCCCGGAGAGTCCCGGAGAATTTCGTTCCGGATTTCGAGGTGAATTTCCTGCGGTTTTTTCTGGGGCCAGGGATGAAGACCAAAACACATCCACGCGAAATTCATTTCGTTTTTCACGCGCCGTGTCGGGCAGACATCCACGCAGAAATCCACGCACAAATCCGCTGCAGCACATCTGCACGGCTGGCGCAATGCTACAGTCTAGACGCTGTCCTACGGAACCCTAAGCAAGGAACGAGGCCCTGGTTTTGCCTCAGTGGAACTTCGATATCCGATAGAAGTCGCAAGGATCACCGAAGACAAATTGCAAGACAAATAAAGAGCATTGAGTCTCAAACGAAGAGGATTCTTTCTTCAGCAGCCCGGCTGTAGCGACAGAGAGCTGTCGATGTGTGTCCAACATGGGCAGCCAAGTTTTCTGGCTAGGGGTCAATTCTCACGCGGCCATCCCTGACGTCGATTCGCCCTCCCAGGCGCTCCCAGGCGTGATGCGTTTTCCGTCCTTCCTGGGCCTCCTGAAGGCTTCTCGTCGCCACGGCTGGAAGCGCCTCGGAGAACAGGTCCGGAGGTACCCCTGCAGGGGTCCCGGGACGGATCTTGAGCCTTGGCATCGCTCGGACGTGTGCGTTTTTCCTCGGCGAGGACCATCGAGGAGCATTCTTGATCACGTGGCGAAAAAACCACGCACGAAACCGACAAGAAACACGGGGAATAGACGTCTGAGCGATGGCCAGTGAGCAGAGCTGGGACGGGCGGGAGAGCTGCCGTCGAAGAACAAGCAGGCGGCACTCTGCCAGATGCAAAAAGCGTGTCGGAGCTCCGCGGGAGCTTCTCGGATCTGCGCTGGGATCCCCTTGGCTCTGGGCCTCGTAGATGGAGCCTCGTAGATGGGGTCGGAGGATCGCGCCGCATTGCCGATGCATCGCCGATGCGGCTCGATGCGGAGCCCTTGCTTCACGTCGACGTCGCCGATGCATCGCCGACGTCGACGACGCATCGCCGGTGCATCGCCGATACTTCGCCGATGCGTTGCCGATGTATCGGCGATGCGGCGCGATCCTCCGACCCCATCTATTGGCGACGCCTCCAGCGCCGCCCGTGGCGCGATCCGCGCGCTGGGGAGGGGGTCCAGCGCCGATCCCAGAATTCCGCGAGGAGGTCCCAAAATCTAAGGCTTGGCCCTTTGGGATAGCGAGTCACTTCGCCGGTTACGGCCCACCACGCTTCGGCGCGACACGCTATCCACTGCCGCTTCCCTGGGCGTCAATGCCCCGAGCATTTCCCGGCCTCACGCGACGCGGAGCGGCAGGCCATCCGCTCGCAAGGCATAGCATGTCGCCAATCCCCCCGCGGCGACACGGTATCCAAAAGTCCCCGACCGTATGTTCATGCGGGCTTGTTCTTCCCCCAGAGGACGCCGCGGCTCAGCGGCGGCTCTTCCGGGAGGCGCAGCAGCAGCTGCAGGCGGCGCCGCCGCAGATGCCCGACGCCTCGGCGCTCGGGTCGGGGCCGCCACAGGACGGCTACCTCGTCGTCGAGTTCCGCGGCGTGGCCGGCGTCACCCCGGGACGCCTCGCTTTCGCGAGCTTCTTGGTGCTCAAGCAGTGGCGAAGCGTCCTGACCTTCCCATAGGTCCGCCGAAGAATGTTCTAGGAGCCTTTTGTGGTTTGCACGACATGTGTTTTTTCGATCATGCCTGGCTAAGGCAGCCTTGTTTGAATCACTCGGGCGTGTGTGATAGCAGCATGGCTGCTTGGTATAAGAATGCTCTTGTGCTCTTAAGAGCATATCTCGTGGTAGGCCTACCGGAATGCCGGGACGGTCGGTCCCTGCTCAAGGTGCGTGTGCTCGGTGCCGCGGGCCAGCAGGTGTGCAAGATCGAGGTCGGCAGCCCCGCTCCGAGGAGAGCGAGTCGAGACAACCATGGTCGGCCTTCGGGGGAGGCCTCGTCGCCACAGCTGGGCGCAGCTCGGAAAGCTGCAGCGTTCCGAGCCGGGTCTATAGGCCTTAGACTTCGGGCCCCGACGCTCCACCCGGCCCGAAAGGTTGGCCAGCGCCCGTCTTGGGCGGCCAGGTCGCTTTTGCCTCCAGCATGGAGGGTCGGCATTGCATTGCCTCCCGCAGGGAGCATTGATCTTGCCTCCCTCCCTGGACCCTGGAAGGGGTCCGGGGACCGATTCTGAGCTGCCCTCGTCTCAGCGCGCCCTGCTCCGAGAGGTCGACGGTCCCATACCGCCGAACGGCGGCGCCCAGCAGCTGCGCCGCGCGCAGCTGACGCTGCCGGCCGCCGACCTGCCCTCGCTGCGGCACGTCGAGCTGGGCCTGCAGGGCGCGGGCGGGGGCGCCTCGGCCAGCGTCGCGTTCGAGGACGTGGCCGCCGCGGGCGACGCGGGCGAGCTGCGGGAGCTGCAGCTCCTGCCCGCGGCCGAGTGGTCCGAGCACGAGCAGGCCGCGTCGATGCAGGTGCTGCTGAGCGCCGTGCTGCCTCAGGACGGCGCCGGCCGCACGCTGGCGCACACGCGCGTGGCCCGGCGGCCGGAGGCAGCCCCCAGGTCGGAGTTTCCTGGGCCGGAGCTGCCGCCGTCCCAGCACCACCTGCGGCAGCGCAACCTGCGCTGGCCAGAGGGCGAGGAGCCAGAGGTGTACAGGGGCCCCGCGCAGGCGTCCAGAGAACACCTGGCCTTCGCCCACGGCCCGCCGGGCGGCGCGAGGGGCCCCGCGGAGGAGCCCGAGGCCCCGCCGCAGGCGCAGGACGACGGCCCGCGGCGCGGGGGCTTCTTCGCGGGCTTCGGCGAGCCCGCCGCGGCCGCGCCGGAGGGCCCCCGCGGCCCCGAGGCCGGCCCGGCGGGATCGGAGCCCTCGCTGGCCTCCACGCCGCCGGAGGCGCCGGGCGGCACCACCTGGTTTGCGGCCTTCGCCGGCTTCGGCGGCGGCGGCGCCGCGGAGGCCGCCGAGGCCGCGCCTGCCAGCGACAGCCGGGCGCGCGCGGCGGCGCCCGCCGCGGGGGGGCGCGGCGGCGCAGGCGCGCGGGGCGGCGCTGCAGCGCCGCCCTTCGCCGCCTTCGCGGGCTGCAGCGGCGCGGGGGCGCCGCCCGCCGACGAGGCGCGCCTCGCCGCGGGCGAGGGCGACGGGGCGGCGGCGCCGCCCGGCGGCGGCCTGCCCTTGGCGGCGTTCGCGGGTTTCGGGGAGGGCGCGGGGCGGGGCGAGCTGGCGCCCCTGCGGCTGCGGCCTCCGTCGAGCTCGGAGAGCATCGGCTTCTTCTTCGCGAGGCTGCGCGGGGCGGTGCAGCAGGGCCGGCTGGGCGCGCCCGAGGTGGCGCAGGACGTCCTCGAGTTCTCCTCGAAGGATCGAGGAGGAGAAGGCTGCATACACACTTGCGTTAAGTCGGGCCTGTCCCTCTACAGGAGGAGTGTTCAAAATAATATGGAAACGATGACTTGATTATTGTTTGATCATTTTTGAATGCGTTTTGACTATGTTTGATTTTTCTCACAACAGCCGCCTGTAGGGAGACATGCCCGATCTAACACTTGCGGAGTTCCGCACGGATTTCTTTGATCTGGATTGGGCCCCCCTGGCGGCGCCGCTGGCGCCGCCCCCCGGCGCGCGGCGCCGACACAAGAGATCCGAGAGGAGTTCCGAATGCCTACGCGTATCATTCAGGAGGGGACAAAAAAAACACACAGACACAATCAATCGGCGATCCCCCAGAAGATATGGGAAACTATGGGAAGTGGGGGGAAGATAGAAACCCAGAAACTATAGGAAAATATGGGGGGATCCGGTTATTTCTGTGAATTTGTGTGTGTGTGTGTGTGTGTGTGTGTCCCAGGGCTCCTTCATACAAGAGATCCGAGAGGAGATCCGAATGCCTACGCGTATAGTGCCGCACTGCTCGCTCTGCTCGACAGGTGGCCGAGGCGGAGGACCTCTCGGAGCTGGCCGGCGGCGAGGAGCAGGTCAGCGTGTACTCGGCGCTGCTGCTGGACGCGCTGGACAAGTACGGCGAGCGTCCCAGTGGTTCTTGGGCACGGCAGGGCCGCTCGTCGAAACTAAACGAATGCTCCGGGATTGAATTGGGGTTCGCCGCGGGGGCACACTCGGCTCTCCTCTAGAGGAGGAGCGTCGGGGCGCCAGCTCCCCGCAGTTCCAGGAAGCATAATCGTCGATTCTGTAGATTCGCATTGCGTCGTCAGTGGTGTTGGCGTTTTTGTTCGTTACGGCATTGTGGTGATTCCGAACATTGCGAGAAGGGGTTGTGATCCTGTTTGAACGTGTGTTTACGAAGGCAAGCGTCATATGCGCAACATGTTTTTTTTTCGTTTTTTTCCCAGCGCCCCCTGCTCCGCGCCTCCGCGCAGGCCTCTAGAGTATGACCCTTGGGCGTTTCCGAGGATTGAAGCCGGAGCGGGGAGAAAAACGGCGACGGAGCCTGGGAATCAAATTGCCCGATCGCCCCGAGAGCAACTAAGGGAAGCTTTACCCCAAGTGCGCGATCCTGATCGTCGCGATGGTCGAGGCGCTGACGAACGTCTACAGCTGCGCGGGAGACCGCAGGGCGCAGCTGGCGGTCCCGCTGTTCACGGCGTTCTGCCGCGCGGCGTCGAGCCTGAGCGAGGAGCAGGGAGCAGACATTCGGGCCGGACGACAGGGGGGGAATTGGGAAAGGGTGTGTTACGAAATCTGCTGCATGCAGCTGGCTTCGGCCCCGCCGAGGAGCCCACTCCTCGATCCAGGGGCGCAATCCGGCGCCGGGCGGCGCCGGGAAAATCAGCCATACGTGAGCTGCTTCTCAAGCCCCCCTTTGCACCCCCTTTCGCCCGGCTCGAGACATGCACGCCCGGCTCCTGGCCGGGCTGGCGACGGTGGCCACGCCCGACTGCCGCGTGGACACCCGCGGGCTCGTCGACTACGCCGTCGGGCAGCTGGACCGGCGGCGCGCACGCACGCCGCCGCTCACCGCGGAGCACGCGCTGGCCCTGTTCTGCGTCGCGCGCGCGACGCACCGCGTGGGGGAGCAGGTCCGCCACGCGCTCCTCGTGCTGAGGGCGTACAAGTCCGACCCCCACCTCGCGATGCGCGCCCTGGTCACCGTTGCCGAGCTCTACGAGGCTCGGAGAAGAGTAGAAGCTTTCGGTCGGGCCTGTCTCTCGACGGGAGGAGCATTCAAAAATCGTCCAAAAAGATAGCACTTGTTTGCTATGTTGGGCCATTTTTGAGGGTATTTGAAGTTTTTCACCCAAAATCGCCCTGGACGCGCCCGACCTAAAGGAAGCTGCACGAAGTCCGCGAGCGGACTTCTCGGAGCAGCGCTGGGCCCTCGTGGCGGCGCCATTCGGCGCCGCCCCCCGGCGCGCTCCGCGCGCCATCGCGAGGGGAGGGCCCAGCGCAGATCCCAGGAATCCGCACGGAGCCTCAAAAGGGTATGCTTCTGCAGCTCTCTCTGCCTCCAGAGGTGATCGACCAGGCCAGGGAGCAGTCGCTCCCCGAACTGGAGGAGGCGATCCCGGCCGGTGGTCGGGGGTCCCAAGTGGTGTGGTGACCACACCGCGTGGTGAGTCTGCGGGGATTCGGGGTCACCGCGCGGGTTTTGAGACTCGGGCCGTTCTCCGCGGGTGTCTCGGGCGGCTCGGGCCTCCAAACCGTGCGGTGACGGACCGCGCGAGGGGGTCGTGGGGGGTGCCGAGGTCACCGCGCGGTCCGTCACCACAGGCCCACCATGCTGGCCAGCAGTATTCGCGCTCGAGCGGCGTGCGTCGGGCCATGGCCAAGAGGGCCCCCCAGAAGGTCCTCCAGAAGGCAATGAACATCTGATAACCATCCGTCCCGTGCTGCTGCTGCTCCCCCCCCCTCCTCCTCCAGGGCGAAGGGAGGGCGATGGAGGGGACGGCTCTGGGGCCCCGAAGGTGGCCATGACGTGCGCCTCGTGGTCACGCTGCTGGACCTGTACCCCGGGAACCGGAAGGTGGCCGGGGCGGCGGTGCGGGCGCTGGCGGCGGCCTGCCGGCTCTCCGGCGAGCACCTGAGGGCCGTGGCCGCCGGCGAGGTGGACGGGCTCGGGAAGGCGCAGCAGCGCCACTCGAGCAGCCGGTCCGTCAACTTCCACATCTGACGAACCAGCACCACACACCCACACCCACAGGGGGACTTCGGAGAGGGCTACAGGGGTGCGTGCTGTCGGATGGGGCTCCCCGCTCGAACGGGAGCGTTCCCCAGGGTCCGACAACCCGCACCCATACCCATAGCCAGTCCTCCTCCCAACGACCTCCGTATGGGTATGGGTGTGTTTTGTTCGTTCGTCAACATCGCCGAGATCGTGAGCCTGGCCGCGAGCCGCGGGCCAGAGCTCGTGGGCGAGGCGCTCGTGCTGCTGGCGTCCCAGGTGCTCCGCGCGTTCCCACGCGACCCAGGCTCGGCACCACGCACGCACACGCACTCGCACATGCACGCGCACACGCACACGCGCACACACAAACACACACACACACACACACACACACCGACACACACACACACACACACGGGCACGCACACAGACAGTATACACACAACACAATACAACACAACACAACACAAGACAACACAACACAACACAACACAAGGCAAGACAGCACGACACAACACAACACAACACAACACAACACACGGGCACGCACGCACGCACGCACACACACACACACACACCGACACACGCACACACACACACACACACACACACACACACGCGCACACACCGACACACACACACACGGGCACGCACGCACGCACGCACGCACGCACGCACGCACACACACACAGAGACGCACACACACACACAGAGACGCACACACACACACACAGACGCACACACGCACGCACGCACGCACGCACGCACGCACGCACGCACGCACGCACGCACACACACACACACGCACACACACACACACACTTACCCACTTTTTTGTATACCGGATATAGCGAGGACCCCCCGGGCAAGGGGAGCCAGTTGATGATCGTGCCCCGAAGCCAAAACAAAGTCGCCAGGATCCCCAAACCAGGTCTTCCGCAGTCGGCGTTTGTCCGCGTGGCGGCAGCTCCCGTCAGCGGAAAGGGGCGGGGGTAAAACAGGGCTAGGATCGGGATAAATCGCTCCAGAGCGTTCCGGAGCGCTCTCAGAGCATTCCGGAACGCTCTGGAGCGGCCGCGGCGCCCAATACATCCTCCAAATCCGCCGATTCTCAGAGATTTCGAGTTATCCCGATCCGATTTTGTCCCGATCTTCGCGTCGTTTTAGGCCGTGGCATGGGCGTCCCCCGGTGCACATCAGTCAGCCGGGGCCCCACTGCGCCCAGTCCTGCCGAGGTCCGGTGCTCCTCGGCGCGTGCGGCGGCCTCTCCCGGGGCCGATGCGCGCGCTCATGGACTGTGGGAGCGCGTGCTCGGTGGCGGGCGCTGTGGCCATACCGCCTGGGCGACGATCTATCGGATGGCCTTCGGCTTTCGCGGGCTCACAGAAACTTGACCAAGCAGGGCTAGCAGTAAGAGCGGTAGCATACTCGTTTTTTCTCGGCGCTCCGGTGCCACCGCCGGGCTTTTGTAGGGCCGTCCCCCCGGGACGTCTGACCGGCGCCTCGCCTCGCCTCGCCTCGCCTCGCCTCGCCACCGTGCCCGGGTTGCGGGTCGGAGTTCTCGAGGGGTGCTTCTTGGGGCCTCTTCGGGGCGCTCTCGGGGGGCAGCTTGGGGGGCAGCTTGGGGGCAGCTTGGGGGCCTCTTGGGGGCCTCTTGGGGGCCTCTTGGGGCCTCCTGGGGGCGCCCCGGGGCCGAGGGCTCGAAGCGTCCGTTCGGGTCATCCTCTTGGGCCCCTCATGGGGCCGTCTTGCAGGGCTCTTGGGCCGTCTTGCGCGGCCGAAAAGGCGGAGAAGGCCAACAACCTTCAAAAACCGAAGAAAAATCAATGACTTGTGCCTCTCCGGGCCCTCTTGTGAGGTCCCTTGGAGACCTCTTGGTGCGTCTTGGACGCTTCTTGTGCCATCTGGGGGCCATCTTGGCCTCTTGGACCGTGTTGGGGGCCTCTTGGGGCACTCTTGGTCCGTCTCGGGGTCCCCTAGGGCCCCCAAAAGTCATGCGAGAAGATGCCCAGGAGCCCAGGGAAACCGCGCCAAGCCCAGGAAGATTTGATAATTTGGGGTTCCAGGTTTCTCAGCAATTCCTCTGGAGTTAGGTATGAGGCTTAAGGGACGCGGCAAAGAGCCCGAGGGCACGCCCACTTCGTGCCCAGCCGCACACACACATATATATATATATATATATATACACATACAGCACATAATAAACACATGTTGAACGATATACGTGTGTATGTCTACATGTACGCATGTGTATATATATATATGCATATAACTTCACATATTTGCATGCATGCATATCTATATGTATATATATATATATGTATGTACATATCTATGTGGCTGCTTGCATGGACGGTCGGTTGGATGGATGGATGGTCAAATGTATGTACCTATGTACCTATGTACGTATGTATGCTTTGACGCATGTACCTGTGTATGTTTGTGTGTATGCGTGTATGCATACATATATATATATGTATGTATACATGTGCATATCTGTGTATGTATGTATGTATGTATGTATGCACGCATACACGCACGCGCGCGCATGCACGGCGCGTACGTATGTATGGTTGCTTGTATGTTTGTGTGTATGTAAGTATGTAGCTACGCACGTATGCATGCATGTATGTATGCTTGTATGTATGGCTGTATGTATGTATGTTTGGATGTATGTATGCACGCATGTATGTACGCATGCATTTATGGGCATAGGCATGTGTATACATGTATGCACGTACGTACGTATGTACGTATGCACGTATGTACGTATTTGTGGATGCCTGCCTGTCTGTCTGTCTGTCTGCCTGTCTGCCTGCCTGTCTGTGTGTCTGTCTGGCTGTGTGTCTGTTTGTCTCTCTGTAATGTATGTATGCGTGTATGTATGTATGCATGTATGCATGTATGGATTCATGCATGCATGCATGCAGGTATGTTTGTATTGATGAGAGTATGTGTGCATGCATGCGTGGCTGTCTGTATGTCTGCCTCTGTGTATGCCTGTATGCATGTATGCATGTATGTATTCATCGATGTATGCACGCATGTATGTATATATGCATGCATGTAGGTATGTACGTACGCATCGATCAACATGTGTGTGTACTAAATGGTAAGGTGGGACTTGCGCCCCAAACAGAGGCGAGCGCACAGTACTACGGTCTGGAACTTGAGGTTCGCGTGTCGCGCCGCCAGTTCTGGTCCGCCGCGCTTCGGCGCGACTCGCAGACCACGTCCTGGTCCCCGAGCGTCAACGTCCCGAGCCCTTCGAAGCCTTCCGTCCCACGGAACCGAGCGGCACGCCATCAGCTCGCAGGGCATCGCGTGTCGCCAGGGCCTCCGTGGCGACACGCCAAGCGAAGATCCCGACCGTCTATTCGAGGCATCGCGAACGGAGTTTGAGTAGACGGGGTCGGAGGATCGCACCGCATCGCCGGTGCATCGGCGATTCGGCTCGATGTGGAGCCCGATTTGTTCCATGCCGACGGTGCCGATGCATCGCCGACGTTGCCGACGCATCGCCGATGCATCGGCGATATCTTGGCGAAGCGGCGCGATCCTCCGACCCCGTCGACTCGGACCCAATCTGAGAGTCCCCTGAGCATGGTGAAGACGCCGAAGCAGTGACCACGTCGGGCTTAAGCTGGGCTCTGTCTCTGGCCGTTCCTCAGACCTAGGTCCCCAGGGCGGGGAACCTCCTCCTGGCCAAGGCTCGGACCCAATTTGAGAGGCCTCTGAGCATGGTGAAGACGCTGAAGCAGTGACCACGTCGGGCTTAAGGTTGAGCTCTGTCTGTGGCCGTTCCCTAGACCTGGGTCCCCAGGGCGGGGGAACCTCCGCCTGGCCAAGGCCCGCCGTGGCCCGGAGAGAGCTCCTCAGCTCCCTGTTGAGCGTCCTGTCGATGGGAGCACGACGACTGCATGCCCTCCGCTTCTCCTCCTCCTCCTCCTCCTCCTCCTCCTCCTCCTCCTCCTCCTCCTCCTCCTCCTCCTCCTCCTCCTCCTCCTCCTCCCCTCCTCCTCCTCCTCCTCCTCCTCCTCCTCCTCCTCCCCCTCCCCCTCCTCCTCCTCCTCCTCCTCCTCCTCCTCCTCCTCCTCCTCCCTCCCCCCTCCCTCCTCCTCCTCCCTCTCCCCCCTCCTCCTCCTCCTCCTCCTCCCCCTCCTCCTCCTCCTCCTCCTCCTGGGCCCAGGATCACCCTGGGCCCAGGATCGGTGTATATGCCTTCTTGCGCAAGGCAGGAGGGCGTGTACACCGATCCTGGGCCCAGGGTGATCCTGGGCCAGGATCGGTGTTGGTGTATAGTTGGTGCCTTCCTGATGGGAGCACGACGACTGGATGCCCTCCTGCGCCCCGCCAGGCGTCGCCGCGAGCGCCATCGAGGCGCTGCAGCTCGTGTCCCGGCACGACGGGAGCAGGTCAGGAGGGGAAAAAACATACAGACACAATGAATCGTCGATCCCCAGGAAAATATGCGAAAATATGGGAAGTGGGGGGGGAGACAAAAACCCAGAAACTATGGGAAAATATGGGGGATATGTTTATGTGTGTGTGTGTGTGTGTGTGTGTGTGTGTGTGTGTGTGTGTGTGTGTGTGTGTGTGTGTGTGTCCCAGTTCCCCTTTAGCAGGGCCGCCGGCATCGCCGAGGCCCTGCCCGCCGCGGAGCTGGTGCGGCTCGGCGACGTGCACGCCGGCGACCCGCTGGTGGCCCGGCCGCTGTGCGACCTGCTCGTGGCGCAGCTGGGCGCGGAGGCGCAGCGTCGTTCGACCCGACGGCCCAAGACAGCCCCCGAAGCGCCCAAGATGCCTCCAAGACGGCGTTGGAGAGGTCCAAGAGGGCCCGAAGACGCAAGAGGGCCCAATATGGCTTCAAGACAGCCGAAGAGGCCCCCAAGACGCCCCAAGAGGCCCCCAAAGGGAACCCCCAAGAGGCAAAATTCGTCCCAGAGCTTTTGGGAGAGCGGGTCGCTGCGCCGGCTCTGGCCTGGAGTCGGGCCTGTCCCTCGGAGGAATGTTCAAACATTCGCAAACAATAGTCTGCTGACGGTTTTTTCTAGTCTTTTTGGCTATTGGTGAATATTTGTATGTATGTATGTAGGTATGTATGTATGTATGTATGTATGTATGTATGTATGAATGTATGTATGTATGTATGTATGTATGTATGTATGTATGTATGTATGTATGTATGTATGTATGTATGTATGTATGTATGTATGTATGTATGTATGTATGTATGTATGTATGTATGTATGTATGTATATATATATATATATATACAAGTGGCACGTGTGTGCCCAGGCTCATACAACAAGCTGAAGGGGCGTTTGAAGCAGGAGTGACATGCAACAGCGAAGTCGCACTCGAGCGCAAGTGGGGTTGCCACACTTTGCGATGTGTGTACCAAGGCCCCCCAGGAAGCCTCAGGAGGCCCGACTTGGATACCAGAAGAGGCTCCAGGAGGCCCCAGGATTGTGAGTGTTGTGTGTGTGATGTGTGCTTTGTGTGGTGCGTGCTTTTTGTGTGTTGTCGGTGTTGTGTGTGTGTGTGTATGTTATGTTTGTCTAGCGTGTGATGTGTTGGGCGTGATTTGTGTCTCTGTGTGTGCATGTAGTTCTGAAGCCCCAGGAGGCCCCAGGAGGCCCCAGGCGGCCTCAGCAGGCCCAGGAGAACTCCAGGAGGCTCCGAGGCGGGGTCTGGGGTACCAGAAGGTCCAGAAAGCCCCAGGAGGCCCCAGGAGGTTCCAGGAGGCCCCCAGGAGGCTCCGAGGAGGGGTCTGGGGCTCGATTTTGGGAGGATGTCTCAGGCGAAACCGCCATTCTCTGAGAATCGGGGTCACAATTATTGAAATTACCATGTGTTTTTGAAGGTTTTATGTTAAAATGTTGAAATTCCTATGTGTTTTTGGACCCTGACGTCACGATCTGCGTGAGGGGTGCCACCGATTTTCAGAATTTCGAGGATGTCCCGAGCGAAACGGCCAGAAACATCGCGGACGACGTGCGCATTAATCGCCTCTGAGCTCTACTCCCTCGGAGAGGTGCGTATGAGAATATGTATATATATATATATATATATATATATATAACAAAAAAACGACCACAATCCGCCTGTAGGGGACGTGCCCGACCTAACTCTGGCCCAACACGCTGCGGCGCGACACTCAGGGGCAACGATAGGGGGGGATAGGCCCAAGGGGGGGATGCACCGACCTCCAATCGCCCATTGATCGCCGATAGGGGCCCGATAGCCCCAACCTGCCCAGGAAGGTGCGGATTCACTATCGGAGGCCCATCGCCGATTTATCGGCCTTGGTCGGGCCTGTCCCTTTACAGGAGGAATATTCAAGAATAGTGAAAAAATAGTCTGGGGACGGTTCTTCTAGTATTTTCGACTATGTTTGAATATTTCTGGACTATTTCAATGATTCGACCAAAATCCGCCTGGAGGGGAACATGCCCGACCTAACTCTGGCCCAACACGCTTCGGCGCGACACGCTATCCATTTCCCGGTCCCCAAGCGCCAATCGTGGAAGTGAAGATTCGAGTAAGCCGGAACTCGGGTTTGCCGAGGTTTTTTGGCGAGCGCGTCCTGGATTTTGACGGTGTGGTTTTCGTGAGATGTTTGCAGCGGGAGTTCGCGTCAACTTTCAGATTGGGTCTCGCCATTTTTGTGATGGCCCCGTCAGGCCAACCCGGGTCCCCCGTACCCGAGTCTTGCGTCGCCTTGAGTGAAGGCCCCGAGCTTCTCCGAGCCTCCCGCCCCGCGGAGCGGAGCGACACGCTATCCGCTCGCCTGGCACAGCGCGTCGTTGGGGCCGCCGGGGCAACACGCGCAGCAAGAGTTCCCGACAGTAACTTGCCCATCGGTCGTTGAAAATAGGTGTTTATGGAGCCCCAGATTCCAATCTACTTTAGGCGCCTTCCTACTTCAATGATCGAGTGGCTTCACATTTTCCGTCCTCCCAAGGGGGCGGACGGTACCCGATTTGTTTTCAACGCTTTGCTACTTCATGTTTCTACCTACTTCTTCCGACCGATGGGTCAACTAAACCCATCCCCACCAGAGCATGGTATCTCAGCCCCACCATCCGGCCGTCCCAGCTGGGGGGGCAGGCCCCTCGAAGTCCGAAGGGAACCGTCCGTATCCCCGTCCAGGGGGCAAATCGGCCAGTGCGGCGCAGGCCACGCCAGTGGGGATAGGGATCGGAAAAACGATGCTCAGAGGCGGTCAGAGGAGTCGGCGAAGAGAACATTGCGCGTAAACATCCTTTGTCGGAGCCCCGCGCGGGTTCCTTGGATTTGCGCTGGGTCCCCCAGCGGCGCCTCCAGCGCCGCCAGTGTGCGCGCCAGGGAGGGGTCCAGCTCAGAGGAGGAAAAGGCACCGATGTCGCTGCCCCCTTCCCCGTCTTCGCCTTAGCAGGCCGCTTGGGAGGCCCTCCTTGCCGCGGCTGGCTTCGCCTCGAGATCCTGGTCAGGACGCACCACGGGAGAGGTTCGAGGAGCATCGGTATCGAAACCTGTCGGAAAGGTGCGCACGGACTTCTTTGGTCGGCACTGGACCCTCCCTCCCTGGCGCTCGGCGCTGGAGACGCCGCCAGGAGGGGCCCGGCGCCTGGCCAAGAGATCCGCGCGGACCTCCGCAATCGAAGAACAGGAAACAGCATAAGCATGATGTGTTTCAAGCTCCGCGCGGATTGCTTGGATCTGCGCTGGAACCCCCTGGCGGCGCCTCTGGCGCCGCCCCTGGCGCGCGGACCTCCAAAAGTGTAAATTTCTGCCGTTTTTCTTTCCCTGCGAAAGTTTCGGTGTATGCCGTTTCGGGTTCCTCCCGAGGCGGGCCTGCAGGAGGAGTTGGCCCGGGAGGGCGCGGTGGTGCTGCCGGCCAAGGTGCTCGAGACCCTGGCCACCGACGCGGAGTTCGGGGGTTCGCAGAGAGGGGGTCATCTTAAGGTGGGGTTCGAGTCTCGAACCCCACCTAAAGATACCCCCCCGTCTGGGCGGGGTTCGAGACTCGAACCTCACTCAAAGTTATGATGTTCCAACCTACTTTAGCCTTGATCACCAAAACCAATTTCGAGCACCAAACAAGTACCGAAACTTGAGGGTTTTCACGGGTCGGGCCCTGAGAGACACTCGTCCGACACTGCTTCGAAACTCCTTCGACACTTGCTCGAACTTATTTCTGGAATGTGGTCCTAAAGTACAATGGGAGCAACATAAACCCAGAGGCGGGGTTCATGTCTCGAACCCCACCTCTGGTCTCGTTCTCAAAACGAGCCCAGAGATTCGACGCTCAAACAACCTGACCAGACAAGAACGGTAAGTGCATGTATGTGTGAAACGCACGTCATTTTGGACGGTTTTGGGCTATCTTGAGGCCACTGGAGGCCGTTTTCCGAAGTCCGCCAGCGCAGTTTCAAAGTTCAGCGCGTACCCGAGTATCAATTTTTACCACCAATAAACGGTCCACGCCAGGGGCGCTTCCCGTCAAACAGAGCTGCCGGCTGTTGGCCTCTTTTGCGCCCCCCCGGTGGCCCTCGCTGGGCCTCCGGGACCGTTAGAATACGACTCGGGACGAGAAGCCGGCCCTATAGTTACGTCGGGCTTGTCCCTGTACAGGGGGAATATTCAAAAGTAGAACGTCTGCACGAACGAAATGGGCACGGAAAGAATGGGTACAATGCCCAAGAGCGGATCCTGCTCATTTTGAACAGGACTCGCTGTCCACGCCGCCGCAGCCTGTGTCCATTCCAGACAGAAGGCCGACTGCCCCACAGCGGCCGCTGTTGGTTTGGGACAACACTTGCTGTTGGGCATTGTACCCATTCTTTCCGTGCCCACTTCGGGCGTCCGAAGTAAAAACATAGTTTTGGGACGATCTTTTTCTGTGATTTTTGAACATTTGGGGGCATTTGTTTAACGATGTTTTCATGTTTCCTCCAACATCCGCCTGCCTGGGGGCAGGCACGACTTATTAGCCCTATGGGGAAGTGGTCCGGACCTCCGGGGCCGGCGCCTGGAGCAACAGTGGAGCAGCCGGATGTCTGGGAGAACCCCCCGCTGGAGACTCGCAGTAGATTCTCTCCCCCACGGGGGCCACTGAGAACGATTCTCCTCTAACTTCTGCACGAAAGAGATGGGCACGGAAAGAATGGGTACAATGCCCAACAGCGGATCTAGTTTGTTTTGAATAGGATTCGCTGTCCACGCCGCCGCGGCCTGTGCCCATTCGAGACAGACGGCCGCCTGCCCAACCGCGGCCGCTGTTGGTTTGGGACAACATTTGTTGTTGGGCATTGTACCCATGTTTTCCGTACCCATTTCGGGCGTCCAAATAATTCACTAATCCAACACAGACGCCCAATCCCAAAAACGCGAGGGCCAAGACAGAACGCAGGCTCCTCGAGACTTCGGGCTTCGGGGAGTGAGATGTTGTGGGCTTCGGGTTTTACCAGGGTGACCACGACGAACGCAAAACATACCCCGAAATCTTCTGCCGATCTTCGAAGCCTTGGTGAATCCGCGATTTTGTGGTTGGGGATGTGTTTTTCATTGGTCGCTAACCCCACCTCCGCCTCCACCCTACCTTCACGTCCTCCCGAGGAGTGCGTCGCTGCTGCGGCGCGGGCGCTGAAGAGCTTCGCGCACGCGTCGGCGCTCGCGCGGCGCTACATGCAGCGGCTCGAGGCAGCGGTCGCGCTGTACAACACGCTGGGCCGGCATAGCAGCAGCCCCGCGGCGGTGCACGCGGTGCTCGGGGCTCTGGCCAGCGTCTCTCTGGAGCCCAAGGTGCGCTGCCAGCTCGTGTCCCCGGACTTCGAGGAGCAAACAGTGATACGCAGCACCGCAAAAGCCGGTAAGAGGGAAGGGGCGGGCGTGTGGGTCGCGAGGAGGGACGCGGGGGGGTCGTGAGAGGGACGACGACCGCAACAAAACAACGCAACGCAAGCGGCCACTCACCCGGGGACAATGAATGACCATCGCACCCCCTCCCTCACTCTGATAAACACAAGCTTTCGGAAGTTCGCGCCGATCCCGCGGATCTGCTCTGAACCTCCCTCCCTGGCGCGCTCCGCGCGCTAGGGGCGGCGCCGGAGTCGCCGCCGGGGGAGCCCAGCGCCGATCCAAGAAATCCGCGCGGAGCTCCGAAGGTGTATTGTTAAGTCGGGCCTGTCCCTCTACAGGTGGACTGATCAAACATAGTTGAAAAATAGTATGGGGACTTTTTTTGCATTTTTGCTATCATTGCTGAGTATTTGAGTTTTTTGTTCGTCGAAAATCGGCCTGTCAGGGGGACATGCCCGACCTAAGTGTATTGCTTATTGCAGTGCTGTGCTCCTCTAGGACAGGCCCGGCACGTGGAAGGCGCTGGACGGCATAGCGCGGGTTGCGGAGGCCGCGGTGGACGGGGACGCGGACGTGCTCGCCCAGGCTCAAGGGAGGGAAAATCCTCCTCCTCCTCCTCCTCCTCTTCCTCCTCCTCCTCCTCCTCCTCCTCCTCCTCCTTCTCCTCCCCGACCCCCCAGAATTCCAGAGCCACGAGTCCTCAGGGCTGGGTTCGGTCGGGCATGTCCCCCTACAGGTGGATTTTCGTGTTAGAAAAATTGTCCAACAATGGCCAAATATGATTATATATAATGTATTCAAAAAGTCGGCCCCACATTTGTGTTTGGCTATTTTTGAATACTCCTCCTGTAGAGGGACATGCTCGACTTGAGGGTTGGGGCTGGTCAGAGGTAGCTCCTGGTTCGTGCCTCGGGAGCCCAGTCCGGAATTGCCCCAGACAAGAGAGAGAACATCCCGGATATTGTGGGCGTCCAGCCGTCACAGCTTGAGGATGTAGTGGGCGACGACCTCCTCCGATGGGCATGGCACAGGGCTTTCTCAGCCACTGGCTGCTACTCGTCTTGCTGCCCCGCTGGCAGCAGTCACTGCCCCGCCAGGGCTTGGGGCCACCTCTCACCTTCGGAGAACGCTGGGGGACTCGAACAGTTTCCTCGAGTCGGAGATGTTTCATCACCTGGACTTCGTGCGAGCCGGCGCGGCGACCGACGCGCACACGGTGCGCGCGGCGATGTCCTTTCTGCTCGCGTGCACGACCTCACGACAATTCTGCGTAAGCGGGAGCACCGCCTGGATGCGCAGGACCCGTGGTCGCTGTCGGGAGTGGGCCCCCTGTGTAGCCCGGAGCCCACTGGGATGGACAGCGCCTCTCGTGCGATGTCGGGCAGTCTTGTTCTGTCGCTTGCCAAGGGTGCCACGTGGAGCAAAGAGGATCGCGACGCGGCCGTTCGGGCGCAGGCCGCCGTTACATCCGCGGCAGCCCGTTGTGAAGAGGGCCTGCAAGAGGCGCGCCGCACGTGACGCCAGCTTCATCTTGACAAGCTGCCGCGGTGGACAGAGCTGGGAGCCGACGCCATGGCCGCGGTGCCCACACGCCGCTGACAGCGACTTCATCACCCCGTGGTCGTAAAGCAAAGACGTTGAAATAAGGAACAGTTTGGGTAAGAAAGGGGCTCGATGTTCCTGAGGTCCTCTCATGGCTTTTCCTCTAGCCTTCCTCGTGCACGCAGACGCTTTTGGTGCCAAAAAGGGGCTTCGTTCCCTATGTATTGCTCCTTACTTCAGTGCCCCGACTGTAGGTCCTCGACCCCTGCGGGCGGCATGCTGACGCAGTCGGAAGGCACCGCCGCCTCGCCGACTTGCTGGAGGGTTCGGGCACTGAACTTCTTGACGAGCTGAATGGTCAGAGGGCGGCTGCATGGGCTTCACGAAGGACTCGGGCGCCCTCGGCCAGGCCCTGTGTCACTTCCGTGGACAGGACCTTGCCAGCACGCCGGTGGAGATGCACTTTCTCGTCCCGCTACTCTTAAGTCGGGCCTGTCCCTCTACAAGGGGAATACTCAAACATAGACAAAAATGTCAGGGGACGATTTTACATGCTTCATTTATGTTTGGGTATCTTTCATTTGTCGTCCCAAATTCGCCTGCAGGAAGACACGCCCGACCTAACGCTACCCTCTTACCCTGGGGCGACCGTGCTTTCCCAGCACCTTGACCTGTTGACCCACCCGCTGCTGGGGAAGAAGCCCGCCATGGTGGTCAAGAGCGTCAGCCTGCTGCCCCGGTTGGTGGGGACGGTGTTGCCGGTCACGAGTGGCCCCCGCCAGCTTCGTCGAGGCTTTGCTTGCTTCGGCGCAGCGCGCACCGGCTCGCGGCCGCTCCCTGCTCCTGTGAAAGCCACTGACGCAAACCCCTGGCACACCGGGCCTCGTCGTGGACTTCCCGACGGAGCTGCTCTGCTCGTTCCCACGTGGCCTGTCGTCCACAGAGTCTGGTGCCCAGCAGTGCGCAGCTTCCTCGGCCCCGCGTCGACCTTCCTTGTGCCCCCCTGGCATCTCTGCCGTCGGTGTGGAGTTGCCCTCTGCGACGGCTGAAGCGGCAGGTCCTCGCCCCGGCGACGACCATCGGCATCACGGACCTCCTCACATCAGACGACGCCTTGGCTCTGGAATGCCACGCGCCCGCAGCCCTGGCGCACGCCAGCGCACTGAGTTCGGAGGCGCGGCTCGTTTCCTCGCGGAGGACCTGCTCCCGGGCGGACGGACGCGTCGGCCGACTCCCGGGTGGAGCTCAATGGAGGATGAAGATTAATAAATGACCGGGGGTCGTGTTCACGCGGCGGCGCCCGGGATGACGATTAGAAAAACCGGCCGCGGGCTGGAAAACTATTTTTGGAATCGTTCTCCTCCAGGCAGAAAATTGTGCAGCAATAGCAGGAAACTAGTTTTTTGATCGTTCCCCCCAATTTTGTCGATTAATCGTCATCCCGCATTACGGACCGCCTCTGCCGCGACGGGGAGACCACGCGCGACGGGGAGCCCCCGCTCATCTCCAACGCGCGACGGGGAGGCCCCGCTCATCTCCAGGCTCTCCGCTGGAGGGCCTGCCTTTGTGGCCGTCGGCGATCCGATACCGCTGCGACCCGAGGCGCAGGCGGGGCCCGCGGCTCCGCTTCGGTTCGTTTTGGCTCGGTTGATCCCTAAGGGCTTGTCGACTTTTCGCCAATCGACCTGTGGGGATCGAGCCAGAGAAATCGAGGTAAATGCAGGTAAATCTATAGGCAAATCCAGGTACATCGAGACACGTCGGGAGAAATCCAGGTAAATCCAGAGATCTCCAGGGAAAGCTGGAGCAACTCGCGGCCGCTCCAGCGCGAGTCGAAGGACGGCAGAAGTCGTTAAGCCTTTGGTGAATTGACCGGCGTGGGCACAGGCCGGGGCCAGCTGGGGCCAGGCGCGGCGATCCGATCTCGATTCGATTCGGCACGAGTCGCTGGCGATCCGATCGGTTTCCGATCCGAGCCCGACTTCGCGATTCGGTCCAGCTCAGGCCTGCCTGCCGCTTCGGTGAGCGACCCTTCGCGGTGCCCACGGCCACGGCGGCCCCGTTGGCTGCGTCTCTCGGCGCCGCGGGAGGAGCAACGGGCGCGCGGCCCAGTAGGTCGCCGTCGTCACAGAGCCTCGGATCAACGGTGGCTTTGGGCTCCAGGACTCACCGAGCGCGTTTCACTGCTCGCAAAGTGCCTACTCGCAAACGTCCGAAAACACACATGTCTGCTTTGATGCAATTTATCGTTGATCCCCCTTGGGGGATCCAGGCCATTTGCGAATAGATACCGTGCGAATAGTGGAGCGCGCTCGTCTCGGGACCGACGCCTCTTCGATGAGATCGCCTCCCACGTGTGCCAGCATGCAAGCTTGCAGCTCGGGGCGTCTCCCCCTCCTTCATGGCCCTCGTGCCGGGCGGCCCGAGGCAGTGCTTCGGCGCCTCGGCCCCGTGGTGCCCCCGTGCGTGCGGGCAGCTACTCTCAACGCAGCGCTGGATGGTTCTACATGCGCGTCGGCGTTTACGATGGGGGGGCATACACCTTAGGCGATGCTTAAGACAACTTAAGTTTTCGGCCAGAGTCTCGATTATTCTTAACGTTTCAATGTAAATCTTAAGATGTTAATAGAAATGTTGGGTTTTTATTCAAGTTCTGAGACTATGAAGTTCTTAACCCATGATTTCTTAAGCATTTCGCAGGGGGTAGGCATAAGGGGGGGATGCATCGACCCCCAGTCGCCCATGGATCGCCGACACGGGCCCGACAGCCTCGGCCTGCCCAGGAACGTGCGGTCTCGCTATCGGGGGTCTACCGGCAATCCGTCGACGATGTTCAGGAGGGAAAAAAACACACAGACACAATTAATCCTCGATTCCCAGGAAAATATTGGAAAATATGGGAATTGGGGGGGAAGACAAAAACCCAGAAAATATGGGAAAATATGGGGACTATTTTTATTTGTGTGCATTTATTTGTGTGTCCTAATTTCCCTTTAGATGTGTCGACGATTCCAGGTTGATGCATCCCCCCGATGCCAGTCCCTCCCGTACCGTGGCCCCTCAGCACGGTCTCTTCACGTGCAGCGCGCTGTTGCTTTGGCTGCCAAGCAGATCGGGATTCCACACAGCACTGCGCCAGCTGTCAGGTGGTAGCGAGACCGGCCGAGACCTGGCTCTGATTGGCGTCGGCGCCTTTCGAGGACCGGCTCGAGGATCTTCTCCTGCTCAATGACGTATCGAGCACTTCCCAGTTTGCGGTGAGAGCATTCTTTTTTTTTCACGACATTCATCGCCACGAATGCCGCCTGCAATGGGCGGGCGACAGTGGCGAGCGACGCGTGGGCTCAAGCCATGACAGAGGCGGCGGGCAGGGACTCGCCCTCAGGCGCGTAGTCGCCTCCCCCTGGAGTGCATCCTCTCCTTCTGCGTGACCGTTGCGAATTTCTACGCGCACCTCTTGGCCCCCGTGGTCCGCTTCTGCTGCCTCCACTACTGTTCCATGCTGTTCAACAACTTCGTCCGGGCTGCTTGGTAGCCTTCGCATACGCCGTTCATTGGGGTGCCATCCAGGTTCGTGTGCTGATTTCGCCGCCCGTTCTGCTCCCCCCTTCCTTCCTTCGTTTCCCCCCTCCTCCTCCGCCTCAACCTCGTTATTGTCGACAGTGCAGCTGAACTGTCTGCGGTCGCACACCCAGGTCATGCGAGCGCCCAGACTGACAGGCAGTCTGGCAACGACCGCAATGCCTGGTCTGCCCACACTTCTCCTCGTTGCCCTCCTCTTTCCTTCCGCACATGCGGGCCGTAATTCAGCGAGCGAAGAAAGGTACATAATAAACTGTTTCGCTGTCGGGGGCGCCTGTCCCTGGGCGGCTGGAAAGTTTATACCCCTGCGGTGCCACCGTAAGGGTACAAGCTTTCCAGCCGCCCTGGGACAGGCACCCCCGACAGCGAAATAATTTATTTTATACGTTTTTCGCCCGTTAAGTAATGTGTGACATGCTCGTTGCGTGTCGCCGCCTCTGCAGGCCGTCTGCGCAGCTGCGGGTGTACCAACCCCTCCTTGTTTTGAGGCCCGTCCCCGCCGAAACTTGTCTTTGATTGTTCCGCTTGTCGTGTTTCCGTTGCCAGAAATCGGCCACGCTCGCAGGACAACCCTGCGGGGGCATGTTCTGTCGGCGGCGCGCTTGGCGAAACGACTTGCATGAGTTTCTGCTGTCCGCTCCCGTCTTCCCCCCAAAAAGAAACGCTCCCGAATCATCGGGGCTGGGAGTGGTCGGGGTAGCTCCTGGTTGGTGCGCTGGGTGCCCGCGCCAGACTTCCCCCAGACAGGAGCTGTCCCAGCGACTTCGGGCGCCCAGTATTCGGCGTTGACACAACGGCCACGGGCGATGACGATCGAAGAAGAAATTACGCCGTAAGCATAAACCGTTTAAGTTCGCCGCGCGGCTTTCTTGGATCGGCGCCTCGGCCCTTAGCAGCGCCTCCTGCACCGCCAGGGTAGGTGGTCCGGCGCAGATGTAAGAAAACAACGCGGAGCGCCAAAAGTTTGCGTGTACGCCTTTTTGTTGTTGTTGTTGTTGTTGTTGTTGTTGTTGTTGTTGTTGTTGTTGTTGTTGTTGTTGTTGTTGTTGTTGTTGTTGTTGTTGTTGTTGTTGTTGTTGTTGTTGTTTTTTCTCTTCCTTCTCGTGAGTATATATATATATATATATATATACACAATCTTCTACTTTCGGTGTTTACACAACGGCTTCGGGCGATTCCTGAGCAGCACCGTCCTGCTCGATGTCTTGGTCGTTTCGTGCTCTCTGCAGGCGTGCCTCGCCGTGGGCGCCCTGACCGCTGCGGAGGCCGTCGAGACACGCAAGAAGATGCGCGAGGAGGTGGACTGGGAGCCGCTCGTCAGGAATCGAGAGCCGCGGCGAAACTCGAACAAAAACAATATAAATACGTAAACCGCGCGGATTTTTTGGCTCCGCGCGAAAAACAATATAAATTCCGCGCGGATTTTTTGGCTCCGCGCTGGGCCCCCATGGCGGTGCCTCCGGCGCCGCCCCTGGCGGGCTCCGCGCGCCGGGGGGGGGGGGTCCTGCTCGCGCGGATCCAAGACATCCGTGCGGAGCGCCTAAAGTTTATGTTTATGGCGTTGGTTCTTCTTCTGGCAGGGGCGAAGCGTCCTTCGAGGCCTCCCATCTGGGGTCCGAGCAGATGGGGTCGAAGGGTCGCGGCGTATCACCGATGCATCGGCGATGCAGCTCGATCTCGAGCCCGATTTTCTCCACGCCGACGTCGCCGATGCATTGCCGACGTCGACGATGCATCGGCGATGCGGCGGGATTTTCCGACCCCATTTATTCGGTCCTAAGTTTGGAAGCATCTAGTCCAGACTTGCCTATAAGCCCACCGAAGAATTGTGTTAGAGCTTACTTGTGGCTTGCATGGCGCATTATCAAAACATGCCTGCTCGAGGCAGTCCTGTTCTGATGCGGCTGCTCATCTTTCTGAGGGCAGTGTCATGAGAGCATATGTGGGGGCCTGTAGGGATGCCGGGACGGTCGGTCTCTGCCCAGAGGAGGGTGCACGCTGTCTACCCCCAGTCGGCCGCGACAGTCTCCGAGCACTACTGCGACCTGCTCGTGAAGCGGGCGGCGAGGAGCGACCTCCGGCCGTGGCGGCTGCTCACGGAGACCGGCGAGGACGGAGGCACAGAGAGCAACCGAGTTTGCTGGTAGGGCTTCGTGTTGCACGGCCAGCCAGCCCGTCCCCCTCCCCTCGCTCCTCCTCCTCCTCCTCCTCCTCCTCCTCCTCCTCCTCCTCCTCCTCCTCGTAGGTGGACAGAGCCCCCACCCTGCCACGTCGATTCGTGAGTTGTCCGTTCTCGGTGCTCGAGAGGGCGCCGCGGCCGCCCTTTGCCAGGCTTGCGCCCGCCAGGTTTGGGCCCGAGGTCGTTTTCACTAAACCACGTTTTGCTAGAGGGGGTTCTGTCCATTCCCGACCCCCGTGGGCCTGGATGGCCATTTACTCGCCACTCACCAACAAAACACCCCAACCCAACCCGAAGGCCCAGACTTGCCCGCCATTCCCAGTGGGGGGGCCGGGGCCAGCCGGCCCCCCCCGATCGGCCTTCACTCACCACCCACCAACGCACCCCAACCCAGCCCGAGGACTCCAATTTGCCCTCCATTCCCAGGAGGGGGGGGTCGGGGAACATTTTGAAACAACAGACAGAAACAAATACGAGGCCCGCCCCCCCCCCAAAACCCGAGATTCGGGTCTTCGGGTTGGGTTGGGGTGGTCTGGTAGCTCGTCATGCACAGGAACCCGAGTTCCCCGTACCCGAGTCTTTTTCCGGATGGGGCAATAATCGCCCCCCCTTGAATCCGCTGTGGGGGTTGGGCACGTGCTGTCGGAACGGGTGGAGGGAGGGCTGGAGGAAGAGGAGGAGGACGAGGAGGACGGAGGGGGAGGAGGGGGAGGAGGAGGAGGAGGAGGAGGAGGAGGAGGAGGAGGGGGAGGGGGAGGGGAGGAGGATGGAGGGGGGCGGCACCGGGCAAGTTCAGCCAGAAGGTTGATGGCCCCCCTCCCCACTTCATGAGAAATACCACGTCCAGAGTTCGTCCCCCCCCCCGACAATTTTCGGGCGTCCGGGGAGGGTGTAGTCCGAGGTGCGTCGCCCGCCCTCTCAGGAGGCGCACGCCCTGCAGCCGCGGGCCGCCGAGCCCGCCGCCGCCCCCGTGCGGCGGCCGGGCCCGCCGCGGCCGGCCGCGGGCGGCGCCGCCGCGCCGCCGCGGGACGTGTACGCGCCGCTGCGGGGCCCCCGGGGGGCAACGATAGTCTTAGGTCGGGCATGTCCCTCTTCAGGGGGATTTCGGGGTGTCATTTTTTAAGTTAACATATTTCTGAATCGTCCAAGATATCAATATATATATACATATATATGTATATATACATATATACTTATACACATACACACATACATATATATACATATATATATGCATATGTATACATATATATATATGTATGCAAATTTATACATATGTATATATATGTATATATATATATATATGTTTATGTACGTAGGTATATATACACACGCGCCCACAGACTTCAGTTTGGAACGTCTGGTTGAACACTCCTCCTGTCGAGGGACAGGCGCGACTTAACGATAGTCAGGAGCGGGAGAACCCGCCGCAAACATACGTACACAGACACCCTCCAATGGGACTCAGGGGGAGGGTGGCGGTGCACAAATCACCACGGAGCTCTGGCGACTCTATACACAGCCGCCCTCCTTGAAGGTACATGCTCAAGTCGCCGGAGGGTGCCTATGTAGATATTTTTGTGGCGTAAGGAAGGACACACACACGCACAGGAATCCAGGTTGGGTAGCTGCGTTTACCTTCGCAGCTCAGTTTCTAGATTGCGTTCGCGTCGACATAAGCAACTCGTCATCGACCAGGTAGCGTCGATCTGCGTCGATCCGCAAGAGCCCACAAGGTGGAACGGGAGGATCCCATGAGTTGGCACCGAAGGGGACTAGGATATTTTTCGGGCCCAGCGATGACCTTGGCTATCGGGCCCCCCTTCTCGGCAGTTTCCAGCGCTTCGTTGACTTCCAGCGACGTTTCCCTAGTATCTTCCGCGCTCTATCATATTCGTTTCGCCTTTTCTTGCCACTTCTGCTCTCAAGGGCGCCCTTGGACCGCCTATAAGACGGTGAGGCCGACATTGCTATATCGAGACATGTATACCAATAACATAAATTATGTAGCATACTAGTCAGATCGTGGCCTCCCGAGTGAAGGCAGATGATCACTTAGTGTTGCTCGCATTGCGATTGTAGTTTTGATTTGTAGATATATCATTCGCTGTCTTGCTGGACGAGTAGAAAACAAATCAATACACATCCACGCTGACGCGCAGATTCCGCCGTGCTGGGGCTTGTATGGTCCCGCATGGTAGTTGAGCAGGATACGATCCGACGGTGATCGAATGACGAAACACAGGAATAATGGTATCGAATGGCCTTCGGCCCATCCCGCCACCGTGTCTGGGCTGTGGGTATGAAGCCTAGTGGATGTTCGTCGGGATATCGTGGGGGGCCTCTTGGAGGCAGTTTGGAGGCGACTTGCGCGCCGCTTTGGGGCCTACTGGAGCCTCTTTTGGGCCTCTCGGGGGCTGCTTGGGGCCCTTGGCGGTTCCTGCGCGCCTCTGGGCGGCGCTACTGGCGGCGCAAGAGCTTGAGGCTGAGGCCTTCACGGCCGCCCAGAAAGCGAATCGCGCGCTTGGTGAGGCGCGAGGGCATACAGCAGGAACTCAAGTGTGCCGTGGACTCTCGCCACAAAGGCACGGGCCTCGCCGACTGGCAACGACGGAGCCAATGGGCGCGAAGTGCGGCAAGGGGAAATTCGAGGGTCCACGCCCCGGCGTGCTTGGATGTCAGTTGGGAGGAAAGCCGTCGGGATTCCGACGACAGCGCCCCCTCAAGCAGGACGCTTCGGCTCGGGCAAATGCTCCAGGCGAGGGGGGGACTACTGGCCGAGCCAGTGCCCTGACAAAAAGACCGGAATCATGTCAAGCCGAAAGCAGAATCGGCATGCGTGGCATTCGCGCTGGCGAACACGGAGCAGGCGCTGCGCTGGGGCGGGGGATTTGCTTCCCTGCTTTGGCGATCGACCCCCCGGAAGGGCGACTACAACTTGGCCCAGGGTCTATCTCATCGAAGACGCCGCGGCTATCCTGGACACCAGGGCGACGAAAAGCATCGGCGGCGCACGCGCGGTGGGGCCGCTCGCGAAGAGGTTCACGCGCGCCCCCTCCGCGGACCTCGAGGACCGCCCCACACTTTACATCGGCAGCGGCGGGAGGCGCCAAGTCTCATCGTGGACCACTCTGCAGGTGGCAGCAGAATCGAGGACCGGCGACATCAGCATTATCGCGTTCGACGCGGCGACGCCCGTCCTGCTGTCCATCGAGGCCACCTGGGATCTCGGCGCGGCCACCTGCTTCGACGCTGACGACGTTCTATTCGCGCATATGCGCCGCCTCGAGGTCGCGTTTCTGATTCGCGACGAGAGGGGCCGCCTGCTGATCAGTTTGAGGACGAATCAGCTGGAGGTCGCGGCGGGCGCCCACGACGCCGCGCGCCTTGGCGCCAGCTCCGTGAACGGGGGCAGCCCCCACGCGGGATCGACCTGCCCGTGGAGAGGATTGACGCGAAAAGAGGCCCGCGCATCGCCGCCCACATCTCGAGCTCCGGTCGGGGTCGGCCCAATCGTTTCGCAAGCCCCTCCGCCTTGAATCAAGCACTGGCGAAGCGCCCTAGCAGCGAGAACCTTTTGCGGTTTCAACGACATGTTCCAAGACGATTTCTGGCTGGGGCTGTCGTGTTACCACGCATTGGGTTGCGCGTTCGAAGGACATCGCTCTTGTTATCCGAACACTTCTGGGTTCTAGCAAAATTTCGCGGTAGGCCTATAGGCATGCCAGGGCGGTCGGCCCCTGCTCATATGAAACCTCTCTCTCTGGCCCGATGCGAGACCATCGAATTGCCCCGGGGCGAGCGGGCCCCCTCCCGGGCAAGCGGGGCATGTCTGTGCGCCGCCTGGAAACCCCGAACGCATGAAGAGGCTGGAAAGCCCGCGCGAAGGCCCCCCCTTTCTCGACGCGCAACGGAGCGGTGCAAGTTTCGAGGCGGGGGCTCGCCCCAGGCTTGCCCCGCGGGCCCCGGCGAGACACCTGGACGCGAAACGCCCGCCCGCGCTCCGAAAATTCGACCCTCGGCGAGACGTGCCCAGGCCGCCCCGAGTTCACGGTTTCCGGGGCGGGGGCCGCCGACGTCGGCGGCGAGGTTCGCGGAGAACGCGCGAACGCGGAGCGAGGAGTCAAACCGACGGCGCGATGATGACGACGACGGCGCCAAGCAATCGTTAATTATTGGCGCTAGCTTTCAGTGAGCTATGCCAGGAGAGCAGCTGCGCCTGCCAATCCAACAGGGCACGGCGCGCGCAGGCACGCCCGCCCCCCCCCCGCCCGCCCGCCCCGCCCACCCCGCCCGCCCGCGCGCTCGCCCGCCGACGTTCGCCAGGCGGCAGCGCAGGGGGCCCAAACAAACCGCGCGTCGTCTTGCCCGCGGCGGGGGCGAACAAGAAGCGCCATTCCACTCCGCTCGCCGCGCGGCGACGCAGGGGGCGGAAACTCATTGGCCAGCTCGCCCCGCGGCGACGCGCGAAGCGGCGATGCCTCGCGTTCGCCCGCGCCCCACCAGGGCGGCAATAGGAACAATGCACCGCGACGACGGTGGCGAAAACAAGGACAACGCCCAGTTCAAGATTGTTCGTTCCTATCTGCTCGGGCGCCACTCAACGCGGACGCGCCGAACCCTCGGCGCGCCTGCCCTCTGCGTCTTCGACGGCTCCCCCCATGGGGGGGGGGGGGGGGGGCGCATCTTCCCCGCCTGCCGCGCGCGCCTAGCGCGGCCCCTCAAGCATGGGAAGGCAGGGCGGGCGGATGGGGGGGCTAGCAGCAGAAAGCGCGCGGCCGAGACGGGCGGGCAGATCGGGCGGGCGGGCCCAGACGGGCGGCTCGCGCGGGCGGGCCCAGGTGGCCCGGTCGAACCGTCGGGTTGCTGGAGCGCGAGCCCTGCATGAATCGCGGGAATGTTTCGAGCGACCGCGCGATTCTTGATTGATTT